TACATTTCACTAGGCGATCACCCATACATTGTAGTGGAGTAAGCGAATGAAAGTAAAAAAAATGATTTATTGTATTATTAAGTAAAGCGTCTTTGGCTAATAATTATACATAAATATAATACTATATTATTTTGATAAAGAATCTATGGCCCGAAAAACTCGGCACACATATTCACAATTATTATTTGAATCTGAGAAATCTATAATGTTAAACTTTCCCTCAATAGTAAAACCATATTCAGATTTAAAATAGTCAATTTCTAGCGAATCACATGGATATGGTTTGCCTGTTATTTTACATCTATAATGCGCATATTCTGAACTTTTAACAAAGTTTACATTGCCATTGTTATAATATTCATTAATACGGTAATATTCAGGATTCGATAGCCACTTTAACATATAAGACCAATCACCATATGTAACGATTCTATAGCCTTGCTGATGTAATACTATAAAAGCAACTATATATGCTACAGTATTTAGGCGATTATATAACTGGTATTTCTTCATTTCTGCCCAATCACTAGGAGAATAATATATATATTCCTTGTACCTTGTAGCCCGTTCGGTTAGATATTCTTTAATATATTTTTGAGCAATATTTTCGTTATATGCTTTTTTAAGGCAGTTGACATATTCGTCGGTATGAAAATCATATTCTTCTTGAGTCTGAGGATTTATTTTTCTTTCATAAGTCAAAAGTATACCTAAATATTTCTTCCTATCAGGAGTGCTATCATTCCTCACCATATTCCAAACTCGTTTTGCCAATGTCTCAGGTCTCAACTTGTAACTCCTCCAAGCCTGTTGGATAAGTTTTGCACTATTAATTAATCGATATGCAACACTTTTCTTAATTTCTTTTGAAGCACAAGAACAATAAAATTCAGTGCTTTTTCTGTATCTAAAATAAATATTACCATAAATTACATCAATCTCATCACCACTAAGCGCTTTTTTACTTTTTCGTTTCCATAATATAGATCTATAATATGCAACACGCCTTTCCTCTATTTTAGCAATGCATTCATTCAGATGCTTATCTGCGCATTTCTCAGTATTTTCACAGATAAATACTAAGGAATCACATGCAGTGCAATAAATATGAAATGTACGTCTTTCAGGTCCGAATTTCCCATATTTATATTCTCTTTCAGTCATGTGAATAAATTCATTCTTTGAGAAGAATGTTGGGTTATATTCGATAAGTTTCCTGAATGGAACACGAATTTGGAAATACCACATTTTTGGCGTTTCATTACTATATCTGTAATGCAGATTAGTTAATGCTTTCACCACTATAGGGTTTAAACCATATTTGTCACTTTTAACCATTTTACTAGCGAATTCTAGCAATTATTTAGCAACTTATACTAGATAATATCGCCATTCAAATTTATACAGATTTGTAGCCGATTTGAGAGACTACATGCTAGTAAATCCAAAATTCATTTTTTTATTCGATTACAAGTATATCGGGATTTATAGGGTCATCTCTCTTATTAAGGCTAAGCTAATTTTATATTTACATGCATATGCACGGTGCTTGGCTAAATCGGTTTGTGGCATGACGTATATCATATTACATATATCACCCTAGCTCCCTGCCAGTTCCTCAATAGTTCCTCGATAGTTCTAGAAGTGTTCCAGGAGTGTTCCAGGAGTTGGCGAGTTTCTATAAATCACGAGATGATTGACCAATCAGATTTTCCGTAGCAACTAAATACAGATAATTAATATCTCCTATTTTTTCTGATGGTAGAGTCTAGACATGCAGTCTGGGCTCGTCAAAATTGCGCAGAAACATCCGGTTAAATTTATCTCCTGAAATCATGATAGTAGAGTCTGGACTGCTTGTTCAGGGTTGCGCATAAGCAGGATTAGCATCCGGTTAAATTTATTTTCCGAAATAGCCTATAGTATGGTAGTGATTGGCACGGTGCCCGGGCTCAACGAATTATTTTATACACATATGCTATCTTCGCAGATTGATAGATCAAGAGAGGAGAAAAACGTGATCGACTGACCAGCGATCAAGAAAACTACATACGGTTAATTTTTAGCAGTTTAAAAAAAATCGGTTAAATTTATCTCCTAAAATCATGATGGCAAAGTCTGGACTACTTGTCCGAGCTCGTCAAAATTGCGCAGAAAAAATGTGATCAAGTGACAGGCAAACATATGGCTAATTTTTGATAGCCATATTCTCCTAAAAATGATGGCCGAGGCTATCTGAGCTCATCAAACCTTTCATGTTAAAATTTCAGCAATTACATAATTGGTTTCATCAATAGTTATATTTAAGATGTATGTGTCACTTGTGATATTCAAAATATTATAGATCATGTGAACGGAAAATTCGGGAAAACTGTTACGATCCGAATCATGTGACTTGGAAACTCTCATTTATATTACATGCGCATGAGCATAGCTTCTGCGGGAGATAATCTAACCGTCTTAGCGATAATATTAAGGCAAGGGAATAATAAGAAATTTTTATTTTGAGGGAGTAATATATGCAGATAATGATTTATTTTTACACGTTTGTCAATATGATATGCTTGTACTGTATATGAATTCGCAACTAAGCTCTTAGATATGCTACTTTTTACTTATCACACATCACACCAGAATTCATGTTTTTTTTTATTTTTTCTTTTTCTTATTTCTTTTTTTACTTTCTTTTTTACTTCCTTCTCCTCTTTCTATATAACTAGAGGACCTTTTTGCAGGAACAGTTGATGGGTCTGCATCGTCAGTTAATGGTTTATCTGCAGTTGACAGAGTTGAGATTCTAGCTAATGGTGTGATTAATGGTTCATCGGCAGTTGACAAAGTTGAAATTCTTTCTTCAATTGTTGCAGTAGATGACATTCTAGCTAGTGAATCTTCAGAACCCAAATCAATTCTCAGAACGTATTGCTTGATCTGTTCAATAATCCAAGGATTTACATTTGTAGCAATAACATCTTTAATTGTAGCATAATTCTGCTTTTTATAATTATCAAACAACTGTGCTGGCACAACGAAATAAAAATCAATATCACCTGTTTTCATTAATTTACTCTGAAGTTTATTCAAACCAATCATCTTAATATTATGATTCAAGGATGTAGTCATTTGGAAGAGGGTGTCAGGTGCATAAATTGCATCAATTGATGGGAAAGTTTTATCAATTGGTTGATAGTACATTTCATTTTTAGTTTCATTAATATTAGAAAACCTATGTTCATCCTGTTGAGAAAGCTTGAACGTGTATTTTTTTTTAGTATCTAAAAAATGAATTTGAAATTCCCACCCACTCCGTAACATCTGGTGAGCGATTGACTCAAAATAACTGCCTAGGACTGAATTACTTTTGCCTCCGTTCAAGACTTCATCTAGATTCATAAACAATTTATTTGTTATCATCCTTTTGACATTACTAGTTACCTGTTTAACCACATAGTCAGATGCAAATTTAATAATTTTTTGCGTATAGGGTTCTGCATCATCTCTCCCTGGTAAGTTTGTCCAAATATGGACGAGTTTATGACTTACATCGTCTTTGCTTTCGCTTCTACCAATATATCTAAATATATTTTCATCACATAATCCAATTGCATCTTTGAGCTGACTTTGAATTTCCGTGTTCAGAGCACCTGCCAAAACATACCTAAGGATCCCTCCCTATTTTTTAAACAACCCATAAACCTTATTAACACTAAGATCTTTGAAAAGTTTATTACTGCATATGTTGATTTCGTCTCAGGACCATATTGGCATGTATCGTACACTTGGAATCTTTTTATCGAATTCCTTATGATGAGCATTCAATGGAGAGCAGATAAGAATTGTTTTTGCCTCAACTATATCTGGTTCTTTACCATCCACGACATACCAAACACTAGAATCATCAAGGTATCTATTAATTTCATCGAAGTGAAATGTCTTGTGAAGACAAAAGGCCCAGCCTTCGTGATCAAATAAAATAACTCGACTTGGTTCATTCATGATACAGATTTCATATATAACTGTATAATTAAACACTGCGAGATGATAAAGTATGTAGTATCTGAAGAAAGTTTTCCCAATTTCTGGGTTTTCAGAGATACGCAGTTTTCTTACATTATCATCAAAAACAACTAAGATTAGGTCATCATAATATTTACGAATGAGTAGTTTTGAAGGTTTGCTATTTTTTCCAAAAAAATGAGCTTCCCCAGATAGCTCAAGGAAATCATTATCATCCAATTCTGCTGTATTTTTCAAAGCTTTCCAAAAGTTCGTCAACTTTTCATCCACAGTCTTTCTGTGTATGCCATGAAACACTATATAATAGAGATTAGCAAAAAAAAACAGTGTAAGCTGAATGGTTATAAAATAGTAACCAAAATTATTACGACTCACTTACCACTAACAACCAGTTGCTCTGCGATAACGCGAATGTGTTTTTTGGGCGGGTTTGACGATAAGAATCAGGAAAGAAAAGCACAAGAATAAGTAAGTATTCGGTATTATTGGCGAATATGACGCGCAAGAGAAGAAGGAAAAAAATGGTATGACTCACCAGTAACGGGATAACTCGAATATTATTTCCTACAACGTTTTGAAATGTATTTCCAACTGTATCGGCTGGATCTTCTAATTTTTTGTTTAAGTAGGGTTCAATAGCAGTTTCTTTATTCCTAAGTATATTCGAAGCAACATTAGTTCTCCATAGAATTAGTTCGTCTGCATCAACATTAGCAAAATAATTTGGTTTCACATTCTTGATAACATTTCTAAGGTCGATAAGATCGTTGTCCGCTCTGATAGTAATTTTGAAAATAAAATGATTTTCACGAATGATACACCAAAGCGCTCCAGTTGGTGCAATATTAGACATATTGTATCACGAATAATGGATAAATGGGGAAGAAATTTCTTTTTCATAAATCTGGAGAGTTTGATATAAATAAGGGGTAAAGTCGCACAGATTGATTAATATTTCAAAGTCACATGATTCTGATCATTACGTTTTTTTTGCAAAACTTTATTGATTATTTTATAGATATATAACTTATCAGAAAAATGATAGAGAAGCAAATGAAATGTATGATGCTATCAAAGAGGGAGAAAGTACGTGGATCCTAGGCCATTTAATGCAAGTCCCAGCATCAAGTTATTTCTTTGCTCTCTCACGTTTACTAAAAATATCTATAGCTAATTTGTTTCTATTGCTAATATTTCTAATTACAAGATTCTCATCCCTATACTTTTTTTCTACACTAGATTTTCGAAATAAATTATCCCGCCCATGTCTACAGGATTTTCGTCTATTTATACCTCTCCCAAAAACAGATTATATAAAATAATATTTCCCGTAATGAAACTTCTCAGAGATTAAGTAATTTCGAATCTATGGATAAATTTGGGAGATTAGCAACTGAGGTAAAAAAAATGTTTCTGATTCATACTTACCATTATTATTAATTTTCGCAACATTACATTCTGCCTGAAATTTATTACTTAATTAATTACAATAAAGGTAATTCGATTTTTTTATTGCCAGTACGATACTGCGCCAAAGTTTATTGAGGAGCGTGATTAAGGTTGCTTGCCGAAACTAGAGGGTTTCGGCAGAATGGCGTACGTGAAACTGCCAAAACAAATCATCAAGAAATGCCAAAACTGCGAAACCTATCAAAATCGCGAAACTGCCGTAACTTGCCGAAACTGTTTTGGCATTTCAGCAATACTTTCTATATGATTTAATTAGAGTTTCGGTATTTAAACAATTTATAAGAATAAAGACAATATGATTTTTTGTATGTAAATATTTATTTTATAATATTTAATATTAAACTAATAAAATACACGATTAAAAATATAATAAAAATTAAAATTTAATAATATCTTTATCTTCTATGTGGGGACCTGCTTCTACCTCTTCTTTTATCTCTACTTCTGTCCCGTCTTCTATCTCTACTTCTATCTCGTCTTCTATCTCTACTTCTATCTCGTCTTCTATCTTTACTTCTTGATCTACTTCTTGATCGAGACCTAGATCGCGACCTTCTTCTTTCCCTTCGCAATCTATATTCATATCGACGTCGATCATGCGCAGCATGCTGCCGTCGATACTCTCGTCTAAACAGATCTAAAATCCAATAAAATATTAATGAATTGAATGAATTGCCTAAATAAAATTAATTTAAAATAATAATTAATAATAATTACCGGTTTGTAACCAGAATTCATCGTTCATATCAGCAAAACACGCTCTATCGAAACTATTTGGGCTCATAATAGGAATGTCGTCATCATTATTATTTATTATCCTACTGAGGTTTTCATAACCTCGTTTGAGGGCATTCCATTTTGTTTG